CTTATTTTAAAGGTCTTTCAATTCCCTTTACAATGATATAAAATTAATGTACTTCAGTTCAGTAGTTTTGAAGATTTATTGATTTAAAGCTTAAATAGAACTAATACATCATTAGTGGAGATCAATACATTTGGCAGCAAAGTAATTTAAAAATGAAGAATGAACTGACCCGTTAGGCAAGTAAATGTTGAAAATGGCAACCATGACTCTCCATGCAATAATAAAGATTTTGCTCGTTGCCGCACATTTTGCAATATTTGAGGAGTACACTCATTTACAATTCTTTATCGCAGGTCTTCTAATGATGCTGGCTGAGTAGCATAGATTTTGATTTTTATATGACCCCACATAAAGAAATCCAAATGTAATAAATCTGGCGATCTTGGGGGCCATTCGATGGCACCTCTTGTATCAATCCATCGATCTGGAAACGTCTGATCTAAATATTGTCGAACACGTAATGCGTAATGTGGTGAGGCACCATCCTGTTGGTACATCGACCTATTCGCAATGTACCGCCGATCATTCTGATTTTCAATTATGGCTGATAATGTGGCTTTCTATGGAGTCTTCTAGTAATTAAAAATACATTTCACCGGTCAAATTTCCAGGTTAGAAAAAAGGACCAACTAAAAGATCGCCAAAAATACCAGCCCAAACATTTAATTTTTGTGGCTGCTGTGTATGAACCTCATGATAAATTCTGGGATTAGATTAGGACCAATATCGGCAGTTATGACGATTTACTACGCCATTTAAGAAAAAGGAACATTCGTCGGAAAAGCAAGTGTTGAATAGAAAATGTTCATCGTTTATAATTCGTTCACTCATACCTTCACAAAATTGTAATCGCCGATGAAAATCGTCTTCATTAAGTTCTTGTACCAGGTGAATTTTAAACGGATGAAAACTATCGGCCTTTAGAATCCGTTGGACAGTACGTCGACTAACACTACACACAGTCTCCAATTTGCGGGTACTTAACGTAGGATCTACATAAACTTGCCCTAAAACCCCCACTTCTATTGCTTCGTTCCTTATGGGATTTTCAATGTTGCGTTTTTTATTGGCAACTGACCCAGTTTCCGGAAATTCAGCTACAAGTTCTAGAACATATTTTCGATGCACGTTACTGTTCTCATGTCGCTCATTAAATATTTCTGCTGTTCTATTAGCGCACTGATTATTTCCGACAAATATTTCGATAATTTCAACTCTTTTTGCTGTGGAATATACCATGGTTAATTTATGTAATAAAGCGTTACAAGTTATTTTAGCAACAAAGTTTGGTCAAATCAATCGCAAACTATGTACTAAATTCCTATTTAAAATAAGTACGAGATATTTCCTTATCTTTCTTCAAGAAATTACTTTTTTGCCACAAAAAAAACGCTTCAATAGCAACAGCAAAATGATAAACAAACCATGGGTGAAGTGAAGAAAAGCATTTACCTATTAAGTAAATTCTTTTAGTTAAATTTCTTCTGAAAGTAGTACAACTAATCTGATGTACCTATTAAAATCTATTTTAAGCTTTAAATCAATAAATCTTCAAAACTACTGAACTGAAGCTCATGTATTTTACATCAATACAAAGGGAATTGAAAAACCTTTAAAATAAGGTATCACTCGACCCCCCTTTCCGTTTAAGATTTTAGGGTTGGTGTCACCCGCGCCGAGGGGCTGCACGTGTTAACGTGATTTTTTACCAAACTTGTGTCCCTCTCGAAAACAGAATCGACGGGTTTGAGCGTTTTCCAAAATAAAACTGAGCTGCCAGTAAATGCGTCTGTTTCTTTTTCAATGCGCCACCTTGTACAATAAAGGCGATTATTATTTTTAACGTTGAGTCTTCTCAGGTTTCTTCCTGGTATAAAGCGAGGTACAGGTTTTATTTTAATGGTGACATTATTATTATTTCGACTCGGTTATAAAGCTAGTTCTTAATTACTTCTTAGTATGATGCTTTCTAGTCTCTTAGATACAAGTATTATTTTTAAATTTCAGGAGACAGTGTGTCAGCTCCAGAATGAAACCTCCTCCAACAACCCATCAGCTGCACCTCAACGCTCAGTCAACATGTACTACATGACCAAGCTGCAGCTGCGGTCAGACAATATCTGTCTGAGACCGTGGGCTTTCGAAAGGGTACCAAACAAGATGATCAGGGGGTTGGACAACGCTCTTATTTATACCTCTACCAAGGAGGCTTGTCTCGCCGCCTGTCTCAATGAGGTGAGTAACAATAGTCAATGACAAGCATCACAGTCAGTAACAACAAACTTCAATAGCTTGTATATACAGGGCTCTTCTTTAATGTCCCCCTCCCCTTTGATTTTATGGACGGGGGTCTTGTGGCTCATCATTTTGAAGCTCATGATGACTACTTTATAACCCTAGAATATAAAGTTAATACCTTTACCTACTACAGAATGGTGGTACATTTAATAATTACTTGAACATAAACCCACTAACATGCATATCTCTACAAATAATTGTAATTCCCTGCCGTATCCACAGTAACAGCGATAAAAACTTGTTTTGTTATTTTTTGTTGACAGTGACAAGAATATCACTACGGAAACAAACACGAAGCACTGCATAAAGCGTCGCTTTTTTAGCAAACGAATATGCTCCTTAGAATTTCAACACGAACACTGTCATCAAAGAGCCCGATATTCTCTATCGACAGAACGGATTTACTAGAACATAAATCTTCCTCCAGGAAAGGCCGGCAGTTGAAATAAATTCATGTAATTTCTATTAGCAAAAAATTTTGAAATCCTTGTATTTTACTCTCCAATTTCGCACAAGAGTTGTAACACTACCAAAACCTCTTACGATCCATTTAAAACATTCTTACATTTGTTTTCCTATGCAAAATGGAGTGATATGGGGAAACAAACAGACATTTTCAGTCAGATATCTCGAGACGGTGAATTTTTTCAAATTCTGAGACATTATTTCAATGTCATTGAGTTTTATATGAACGTTTTTTTTTTTAATTCATATAAATTTGTTTATGGTGGATAGATGTGAAATTATTGTTTCCCTTCAAAGCCCATGTAATTGTTATGTGATTATCTCACAAATTAACCGGTGGATTTCATTCAAACTGCGCAAGACGTACGTAAATACAGTATAAAGTAGGCTGTACAGTGGGAAAGTTCACATTTCAAATTTGAATTACGCGCCAACCGTATACGCGAGGAAGTGGGGAGAGGCCTTGATCGACGCGTTCGGCCTTACAACAGACGCGTGACGTCACCACGAGTAGGCCGATCGGCCGGCCGACATCATGGCGTGCCGTACATCAGCGCTAGTGAATAATATATTATTGCAGCATATTTAATATACTCTACCTGATGTAAATAACAGATAATTCAGAAAAGTGTTTTTGGTATATGAAGGCAACTTGGTGGAAAATATTAAAGTATGTAGTTATTAACCATTTTCACCCTGATTTTCACTGATATTTCATCCAACATTACGTGCACATTAGATTGATAAGTTGATGTTATAAAAGCTTGCTAAAAATGATAGATTCTTCAACGAATAACCCCATGTTAGTCACAACCGATCAACAAAATTTCACAGGAATATGTGGACAATTTACTATTATTATAGGTATAATATAATGGTACTTGAAAATTATATAAAAAATGTAGTGCTTGTAGAACAATTGTGTCCAGCAAGAACCAACGAGGAGGTCTGAGGTAACCTCTTGCCAGGAAAGGAATAAGGAAGATGAGGAGGAAAAAGTGTAGGATAAATGATAAGAAAAACAGATAAAATCAAAGTAAAATAAACAACAGAAAAAACATAACAAAGATTAACGAAAACTTAATCAAAACTCTTAGAACAAACAAATAACAGCACAAAATAATAACAAAAATTAGAAAACAGAAAACAAGTATCAAAAATAACAAAAATTAGAGTAACGAAAATTAAAGTGCTAAATTCTGAATATGTACAAATAAACATTTATCTACAGCTATGTAAATGTTGCGGCCTCTTGCGAATGTAGTCAATTTACGTTTCTTTGCTTTATTCGCGCTTGCAAGGATGTCGTGTTTGGCACAATATTTTTTCAAAAATGTGCAAATAACAATTAGTTTTATAACATAATCTGCTGAATAGACTGTGCAACGCGAAAATGAAGTGTCGTGATTATTATCACTCATATTGTTAATTATCTACTGAGAAAGAGCGCGTCTCTTACCAGTGATTTCTAAAAATGATTCCTCGTCACTTGCCAAAACTTTATTGAAAATTATATAACTTAGCATGACAATATTAATAACTGGATCCTTTGGGAATTTTAAGCCACCTCTACTCAAATTCTGGATAATATTGTGCTTGTCTTCTATATCAATATCATCTGTGTGTGTCAAATTTTCCTTACAATGATCGCAGTGATTTTTCTTTAATAAGGCATAACAACAGTAACCAGCTAAGTAGGTGATGTCAGGGATTTCATCCTTTATACTATCAATATCAGACTGTAAAATTTCAATTTCCCGGAAAAAGTGGCAATCATTAAAATTGTGTTTAATTTCATCTATTTCTAAATCATCATTTTCACAGAATTTATCTATTTGTATAACACCATAGCGAGACTTCAATGACATCAGGCTTTGAGTTCATAACTTTTTCTCAGATTCATATAACTGACGATGCATTCTCAGAAAGAACATGCAGAACATCATCCAAGTGTATATTAGATAATAAAAATGGAGTTTTAATATTACCTGAGTTGAGTAACAATTCTTGGGAGTACATATACGTTTTTACATTGAGATCTTTATCAACAATTACAGAGTAAGTTATAATGGGTGCTGGTTGATATTATAACTTAAACAAAGTAACTTTATCCTGAACAATTTTATGCCACCCATATGGACATTGCCATGAACTGAAAACTGTGAGAAAGTCTGAATAATTTTGAAAACAAGTTGATTTTTGATAGGAGGAATAATCATCAATGCTAGTTTGCAGTACTTTAAGTAGTTGTTCTTGTTCCTTGTCCCTCAATTTCTCATCTCGGCTTCTTCTGCTTGATATGTCCTTTGAAAGGTATTTTGGACAATTTGCAAAGATACTTGAAATTACATCTGCCTTTAATTTTGGATACTTAAGGGGTACAGTAATGGTCCTACCTGTCTTTTCGTCATGGAAGGTGGATTCCCACATGATACTGCCCTCAGCAAAGTGCAAATTACATACTCGGGTGTATATGGTAACCACTAAATCACTACGAGGGATTGCATTGAGCCATCTTTTACCACAGTTTTCGTTCAATGGAAACGAAAATACGTGTACCTTCGGACCCTTCCCGTAATTACCGACACAATTAGGAACGCAGCACTTGTAAGGCATTTTGAAAACTTAGCTAAACAATCGCGAGACACAAATATAAGTTTAAAACATCAATAATGTTCAGTTTACATAGCACAAAAAGATGAGGCTCAGAATGTGAGGTTAGTTGGCAAGGTTGCCACATATTCCAATTTTGAATGGAATATTAGACTTCACAAGTGACAAATTGAACGTAATATCGAAAATGTATTCTTGACATACTGGGGCAGATCAGAAAGAATAATCACATCATCACTGAAGCTGCGCAGGCCCCGAGTACATCTTGCAAATTTGCCCACAGAGAGGTACAACTAATTAGTACAGATTTCGATACTGCTATATCAAACCTAGATATGACAACACCTCAGAGAAATGGTGGCGCGGTTCTCTTGCCAGCCAGTCATCGCGAAACTCCATAAAAACATGCATAGGCCTACTCTGCGTGACCTCAGAGCCCAGTTGTTTGGCCTTGTACTCTCGGTGGTAACGGTTCGGCGTGCGGGTTAAATAGTCACAATGGAACGTTGGACCAAAGCTATCGATGCTTACTTTAAGAGAGGTGATTCATACGCAGCTGCCCTTATTGGAAAATTTATCTAAAGTCAAAAGTGTATTCCAATAATCCACGAACACTGGAGGAGCTTAAAGACCACATTCAACCAGAAATAAACAACATCACTCCGGAAGGAGTATGTATTTTTTCTTAAATCAAACATTCCCACTGGACACCCTACTTTGAAAATATCAAAATAGCATCCGTTTCTATAAGTTGGCACCAAACGCAACTACCTACCACCTTAGTAACTGCATAACTTCATATTTTCGTGTACTAACACAGTTGATCGAATAAATATTGTCTAACAGATTTATTCTGTGAAATATCATCAATAAAAATCATTTGGAGCGGCTTTTCTGAATTCCTATCCTGCCGCGTTTTTCCTGCTGTGAATCTAATCTTTGATATATGCCGCCATATTACAGCTCATAAGAAACAAATAACCGGAGCAAAAACATGGTATAACGGCCCCTTTATACTGATACACTCCTTTAGAGCTGCTTCTTTGTTTAGCTTATTATCGATTCAATTTATTTAACAAATAAAAACCGGAGTGCTTTTAGCACTTACGCATCGGGAGGCAAAAACGTACCACGCAGTGATGGACTGGTAGCCAAGTAAAAAGGCTATTAATAATAATAGTACGAAATTAAAGTTCATGCTTTTTAGATAAGGCAAAAAGGGCGGCACCGTTAAAAATTATCCGGTGCACCGGAAAGTTCTGTCCATTCCGGTATAACCAATTTTCTAAAAGTATGCGTAATTTTATCAGACGAATATCTGTCTCGCTCTTGCTGCTATTGGACGTATACATGATGGTCTTACAAGTAAGCCATAATAAAATCTATTGGTTAGTAGGTTAGTGTGTTTTTTCATGGTTACGTCACAATGCCATACGAAATAAGTAAACAGATTAACGGTACCGTGTGCGTAGGTTAAAAAAAATTGCACATTGCGCAAGCCAATTCGTAACGCATCCGCTACTCGCTCTTGCACACATACAAGAATTGAATGTTAAAGGACCGTTGTTTCTGAAGATACTTCCAATACGACTGACGATACACTAGTTATATCTTCAGGTACTAACTATATTTTATATCGGGTAAACTTGACAAGCAGGTTGTCATACTGACAGTGAGATGTGTCAGTGTGAAAGTGGGAAGTAAAAGACCAATAATAATATAACAGAAATTAGATTCCTTCTTTTACTTTCCACGTTTAAGTTTAAGAAGTATATCTATTATGGGGATTTGAAAATTTGGAATATTTTATTATGCCTTCGCTACAAAAAATGATGTCATCATGACAAAGTTTGGCGAGCAGTACGCAGTGAAGCATGGTTAGTCATACAATCAATGGTAACATGCTGTAAACAGGATGTTCCTTAATTATATGCGAATCTCTTGAATTGTTTTCTTTCGATGCGCCATTTTTGAGTAAAAAAATAAAAGCCGTTCTATTGTCCGAGAAAATTAATGTAATAATTGAAGAATGCAATTTAGCAATAACTATCTAGTTGCTCTAGAATATGTCACTGGCTTTTGACATCTGACAAGTCTCTGTTATTCAAATCGGTTCGCTGTGACATCTTTTTCATTATTTAGTTTTTAGAAGCTTGTTAATAATCGTGAATTATTTAAATGCAGAAATGGCGGAACTGCATTACGTATATGGCCTTGCCGACGGTAATGGTGAGCAAGCCAGACTGATTTATCACCCGACATATCCCGATCGTGCTTTGTCAGGTAGTCGAACCTTTTCTAATATTTTTTCTAATAAGAACATCCCTATGCCGTAACCGAATCCCATTTCCAACACCAATTTTCGGTTAACCTATGGACAGGAATTATTGGCAACCACTTTATTGGTCCATATCTATTGCCGGGACGACTTGACGGACAGACTTACCTAAATTTTCTTCAACAACAGTTGCCTTTGCTGTACATCGGTATACTTCTTCATAAACTACTATCTTATCTTGATCCAAAATTATTTCGTGACTCAAATCAGTATGAATAAAAATGCAGGTAATCTTTTTCCGTTATAATCTGGACGACTTTATCTCGGAACCGAACAGATACTTATTAGGATTATAACATTCCATGCAGCAAGCATTTACTTGTTGGCTTCCTCGGTACGCCATTGAGCCCATATATGCTGATGCAGACTAGTTTAGAATAAATACCGCTAGTAACATCCATGGTACAGTACTAAAGAATTTCATTTCAACAGGAATCACTTCCTGATAATCATCGGTATGATTATAGATCGAGAAACGTAGAGTCGGCTTGACAGATTTCAAATTACTTAGCTGACAATTTCGATCCTGCATCGATGTGATGATAGATTGGATAAGTTGATGGGTTTTTGCTTAATCTAGAAGTTTTTTGAGTCGCTCTAAGAAAAAGCTGTTCTGATTTCGATTGTTGTCTGCCTAAATTCATCCAAGTGTAACCGCAATTATTGGGTTAGAGAAATAGTTCTGTGAATTATGATAGAGATGGCAATACTGCCTTTTCCTCTTATACACAATACTTCATCAAAATGGAAGAGCTAAAAGTTACACTTCCATCACATCTTGCGACCGGTTCACACAGGCGTTAAACTGTCGCATTTTTTCGCCAATAATTCATAAATTTATAATCATTTCAATGTTCTAGTATCCAAACTGCTGTATCTGAGGTCAGTGATGATTTAAAATCTATCAGTACCTATTCAAAGAATCATAATCTTCAGTTCAACCCTTCAAAATCATCGGTACCATTTAGAAGTTATGCGATTAGTCAAAAGCCAAGGTGTCATACCACATCCTTTTTTAAATCACACACTGCCATGGTACACGATATCAATCACGAGCCAAAAACTGTCCCTAAGCCTCATGAAACCATAATGGGGCGATCTTTTCTCCATTTAGCTCCAAAATTATATGAGCATGTACCAAAAACTTAAAACAATTTCGAAGTACACATAATTTTAAAAAGGAATTATCAGAATGGATACGCGCAGTAGGAAGACAACACTTTATTGGATTAATATCAAATGTTCCTTAAATATTATCATCCTCTAAATATACACTTCTTTGATTCAAGCTTTTTCTTCAAGTTTCTTTCAACTTCGTTGCTCTTCTATGGATTTACCCAATTTATGTTGTTATTGTTCTTATATGATGGAGTAAGTAAACGTCTACTACTAACTACTACATGTGAACAATATCAGCAAGAATTATTTTCAATTCTACGCCAACCTTCATAAATAAATTCTTGACTATCAGACCAAAACAATTGTGTGCGAATCTCTGCTTATCTCTAAAATTACTTATTGTGATACTTAATGATGTTCTATTTATAGACTACACTTTTCTCATGCGTCTCCAAGAAGTTCAATCAGTTTGATCATATCAGCCCTTATTTAAGAGACACGGAGTGGCGGAGAGTAAAAGACCTACATAAGTTACACTTGGTACTAATAAGCCTTTCACACACAGACATTCCTCCATTTTTAAAGGGAAAACGGATACCTAATAATAGTAATACTCGTGTTCTTACAAGAGATATTCGTTTTGCTGATACTCTCACATTGCCTCTCGTAAATGCCTCATATACAATGAGCTGAATCATGATACATTTAAATTTTAACAGAGTCTGTTTAAACAGATTACAAAATCGTTTTCTTCTTCGTTCCGAACATGTAATTCTGATTTCTTGGATCATTCTGAACAAAAAAAGGTCCTAACTTCTCTCTTAACGTGGCCGTTTTCGCACTACAAGCCATTTAATGTCTAAAACCCCTAAGAACTGTCATTTTCAATGCTTGAAAACACGGTTGAAAAACACCATTTTTAAGGTTGCCGTATATTATAAGTAATGCTAAAACGTTCACCCACAAGATCCCGAAGAATACATACTTCAAGATTAGTTAATTTTGAAGTGACCTTCAAGCTTAAAATTGGAGAACTTTCTGTTTTCACAGACCGTACATGAATCGGAACACTGCCATTATGGAGACCATAATATACAGGGTGCGTCATCTATGACTTTTTTTCTATTTGAAAAATCAACACGCTTTTTACGAGGTGAAATCGAATTTTTTTATAGATAAATGAAGGTTGGTTTATGCCATTTATGGATGAGAAATAACATCAGTCATGTGACCACCGAACATCCGAACATCTAAATTTTCAATGACTTTTCCCAGAATAATCGGGTTTATGGCCGCAAATTCAGTCCGAATATTGCGCTTTAGGTCTTGAATTTTCCGAGGACCATTCGCATACACTTTTCCTTCCAAAAATCCCCAAAGAAAATAGTCAAGATCTCGGGGGCCAACTGACATCTGAATTTCGTGAAATTATGCGGTCTTGAAATTTCGTGTGCAATAAGGCGATTGTTTGGGGAGATGTGTGAGCCGTTGCTCCGTCTTGATGAAACCAAAGATCGTCGGCACCAATACGATCCAATTTTGGCCACAAAAAGTCTGTTAATATGCCGCGATAACGTTCCCCGTTGACGGTAATGGCCTTTTCTTCAGCATCTTCAAAGAAGAATGGTCCAACGATGCCACCAGCCCATAATCCGCACCAAACAGTCACCTTTTCAGGTTGGAGAGGCTGTTCATGATATTGGCGTGGATTTTCAGCCCCCCAGAATCTGCAATTTTGCTTATTTACGTACCCATTGAGGTGAAAATGAGCCTCATCAGAA